ATTCAGCCGCTGTTGAAACTGATCAGTTTCAGCAGCGGCTGAATCTGGACGCCAGTTCCGACTTACATACAGATTCAACTTAAGAACAAACCTACAGTCCCTATCTTGTACGTAACCCGGGGACTGCCTGTATACCTAACTACATTCCTGTCTCAGGACCAATGTTAGTAAATGACAAATACAGAATTTAGTTGATTTGTAGAGTCAATTTTTTTACAGCTGTACCACATTCCAAAATGATTCAATTACACACTTTACTTATCTTACTCAAGGGGAAACTAATTTAAAATGAATGCATAATTTTAAAGAGTGATGTTTATTTAAATTACTATGGTTCTGCTACATATCCTGAGTGTGATGAGCAGGTGTGCAAAGTAACTTGAGTTTAATGTTCTTTGAACAGATACGATTGCTCTTCAAGATCAACTATAACTTGTTACAGCTTTATATTAAGTTTTTATACGCCTGCATATGTTATATTTAGGTATAAACTAATAATCATAGCATCAGAATACTATTAGCTTCTAAATATTACTTTACAAAAGACATGGATTCAGTAATCACATACGTAGCTATTGCCATAAACCCATTACTTTACCAGATTAGGTAACTGTAAGCTTTCGTAACACAAATCGGACACACAGATTTCATGACTAAGCTATACTTCCTCATACCAAATGTCTGAGTTTTAGTGCATAGTGTACAAGGAAAGACCTTATGGGTGTATTTCTACTCACAAAAGTGACTGTTAAAATGGCACTTCCTTATCCCACAAATCTATTCCAGCTCAGTTCTACCACTTTTACTGTCAAAAATAAGTCTTCGTTGCTTTTTACTCCTATAAGACCTGCACATCCAACACAGATATGAGTGAGATAGCTGGAAGCAATTCATCTCATGTATCAGAATAATACTATCAATTTCAATATCTAATATGATTGCTCAAATATCAATGAATGCCTATTACAGATTTCATAATTTTGAGTACTAATGATAATGCACACGAGAGAAAGGTAACTGCTTGTCTCTAAGACTAGGGATGTTCAATTTCAACTAATCAGCTAATCGAGTAGTTGATGGATTTTCCATCGACTACTCAATTAGTTGATAGGGATGGAGTGGTGCTCGCTATCTCTGCTGTGCCTCTGCCATTTAAAAGGCAAAGGCGCAGCAATCGGATGCAGCACGAGCGGGGACTGCTTCAGCCCCAGTTCATGCCGTTTCCCCTGCTGAGCCTCTGCCTTCCCTGTCCTCCACTGCAACGGTGATGAGGAGAACCAGCTTTTAAGCCAACTCCCCCCGGCACTGGCTCCTGCTCCCTCCACTTGTTGCCTCTGATACAGAGGCAGCGGGGGAGAAGTGATTAGTCGAGGAGCGACTAGACTACCTGATAAACCTAGGATTATGTAATTCTAGTGGCTTACATCCCTACCTAAAACCTAATGCTGGGTTGTCAGAGGGCAGTGAAAAAATACACACACAAATTAGGGATCTGAAAGGTTAAACGGTAAGCACACCTGAAGCAGCCCGTGCCAGACAGGGGCTGTTCCAGACGTCCCAGCTCCCCTACTTTAATTGGTTAACCGGTTAGTTACCATGTTTAACTGGTTAACCAATTAAACAGGATTTTATATCCCTAACACAAATGCTCAGTTATATTTGAGACAATTATCACAGTATTCATAAGAAACTGTTGTTTTCACACTGTACAGCTAGATAATTCTTAGTCCTGCCATGAGTGCAGGGGACTGGATTAGACCAGTGTTTCTCAACCAGTGGTACGAGTATCCGTAGGGGTATTCAAGAGAAGTCTGCGGGGTATACCAACACAACTGAAATTTGGAGAAAACTGAATTTTTGTTTTAAGTTTTACAATGTTTTATTATTTTTGTACTTTTTACACCCAAAAATTTTATTGCCCACCCGGCTACGATTAAGTTGTTTAAACAAATGTGTTGCAATGGTAGAAAAAAAATTGTGCATCTGAAAACTGTAGGTACTGGGGCTACCAAAGGTTGAGAAGCACTGGACTAGGCCACCTCTGGAATTCCCTTCCAGTTCGATGAGTCTATGATTCATACAACACAAACATTTTTTTTCATTTCTAACAAGTGTTTCCTACCAAGATACAAAGAAAAAGAAAAAAAGACAATTTTGTGAATGCTGATTGGCAGCTGATTATAAAATGTAATTCAATCATTATGTTAGCTTTATCACATTAGCTGTGAAAAATGTTAGGATTTCCAATTTATTAAGCCCAATACTCTAATGTGCATCAGCCTTCCCTACTGAACTAAACACAGATCTACTTTCACGCTTTAAAAATACCCATAAGGTGCAGAGAATTAAGTGTTGCTAAAATCACTCTTTGAAAACAAAACATTGAAATTTATGTACTCATGTTCACTGGCAAAGATCTTGGCAATGTGTTTCAAACAATAAAAGGCTTTAAAAACAAATGACAAATGTGGAAAAAGATTTGCAATGGCATTTTCCCTCACCTTCATCATCCTGAAATTCAACATCATTTGTTCCAAGAGTCTCTGCTCCACCAAGAACTGCTTCGAGGCGCTTTTGCTTTGCTTTGATCTTTTTTAACTGTTGCTCCTTGAATGACAAGAGTGTACAAAATTTTAAAAATCTTGTTACCAGACTTGCTTTTCTTACAAATATCAAGGTTCAAACTGCTATTAATATGTTAAGTAAAAGGGTAGTATTCTGCATCTGAAAGAAGTTAACATTGTGATATGTCTCCATGTGATAAAAATGCATGTGGAAGGTACCATGCCAGAATACCAATCTACTTAACACATACATCCAACATTTACAATTTAGTACAGCTGCTCATAACTAATGTCCAAATATTTAAAAGTGCACTAATTCAGGTGCACAACATATACATATATAAGACCAGATGTGCATGCACAAGTTAAAGTTTTATACACAAACAAATCTCACATGCATCAGATATTTTCACATACAACTTGGGCATGCATTTTTTAAACTTGGGTCTTGGATCCAGTGAAGAAAAGCCCTATATCTAGCATATGAAATTGCACTAAGAATATATTTGAACTCAGTCAGTGCTAATCCTTTACTTTCTTATGTGCTAAGTTCAATAATAAAATTAAGTAAAAATCCTTCCCCAACAGATTTGTTTTGAGATGTGTTGTCACAAAGAGACTACAAAAATTCAAAAATCAATGTTATTCCTTGTGCATTAAAAGTTATTATTACACCAAGTCAGCTCAAGAGAAGACGATTAATTCATTTGAAAACAACATCACAGCTCCTGTAAACATACAAGAAGGAATTGAAAAATTTTAGTACAAGCTGAATATCTCTAATCTGGCACTCTCTGGCCTGACAACATCTGTGGTCTGGCATGATTTTAGTTAGCCAGATGTCCACTTATGGGTATGGCCAAGTTTCCCCACAGTCCCGTAAAGTTTGTTTACAGCCACCAGGCCTGGTTCTTAGCATTCTGTGCTGTTATTTAGCTCTAATATACCCCCAAATGTCTTCTAAGAGCCCAGAAATGCTGCTAGACAGTATTGATGTCCAGTGGTTCAGCAAATTCTTTGGTTCAGCACTAGTCAGGTCCCAAGGATGCTAGACTAGAGAGGTTCAAACTGTAATAACACAAACTGCTGAAATGGTGAAGGAACTCCAAGTTTAGATTCTGACCCGTTAGCAGGATACTCAAGTGTGATGCCTGACACAGGATCACAGCCTTAAGCAATCCAAAGCACAAGTTAATTTTTTCCAGTCACCTTGTTATATTTTTGTCGTTTTACAGAATCTAATTTTCTGTTTATATCTTTGCTGTTGGCAGCTTGAGGAGTAAGTTGCTCTATAATTGTATTGATTTGTTTCAGAGATGTTGTACATGACCTGAAAAATAAAAAGAAGTTGATTTAGTATTCAGTTGTAATAATGAAAGAATCATTACATGGTATTTTCAACTCAGATAATTTAAATGTAAAAATTATAGCCAAGATTTTAACAAACAAAAGTCTAAAGATGGATTTCTAAATAAGCATGATGATTTTCTTGGCCTTTCAATTTTACAGAAGCTAGTGTTTAAAATGAATTGAGTATTGTTAGAAACATTTTTGTGATTTTTTAAAATGTTAAAAACAAACAACCCACTGATGTATTTGGAACTCAATAATTACAACTTTACTAATGAACAACTCTCAGGAAGTAGAGCCCTGCAGCGGGATTGAGAACCCATGGGTGAAGATCCACTGCCATAATAGCAAGATCATGATTAAAGTTCAGTCATGCACAAGAGGTGAAATTGGCCCATCTACTTTTATTATCCAAGTTAAGAGAAGCACAAGAAATAAGTACAAATGGTGAAAGAGTTGAGTTTTTAATAAACAGATTTAATAAATAGATTTTAATAAAATCTATTTTAGTAATCTGTAGTAAAAAATTATAGACTAGAGATGTAAAAAGTCATTTGAAAAGGTCACTAAAAATCTTAGTGATTACATGGTTACATGCGCTGCAGGCTCTACACAATTAAGCTTAAAGAAGCTTAACAAGTTTCCTCCCCCCTGGTTTCAACGTGGTTTTTTTTGCTCAACAACTTTCCTCCCCGCAGCTTTTTTGTTTGTACCGGATCTTTTTTCTTATAAAAAAAGCACTGTGTGTATATATGTATATAAAATCTGCCACCAACTTATGTAAGCCCAAACTGATATTAACTAAAAGATGTCGCCATCTAATGATTGTTGCATAATCTGTTAAATTAATCAGGGTGGAGAAGTCTCATCACTAAAAATGGCACCCAAAGAGCCTACTCTACTGATCTACTACAGATAACACTAACGTTTTTTAATAAAAGATACTGATTTTTTCTTCATTGTGTACAGCATCAATACATGATGACACCGATACCTTCAGTCCAACTGAAGCATGGGATAATACATTACCATTCAAATTAACAGAAATGCAAAGGAAAGCATTCCAGCACAAAACATAAACAGTGGTTGAGAGAGAGTGGATTTTCAAATATGCCTTAAAGCAGGCTTTTCTCTCTGCCTATCCCTATTAACAGTTGTGAGAAACTTGCTGCATGAGTAGTTTGCCAGCTAGGTCATTTATGTGATAATATATGTAATATTTTTAGATGCTGATATTGGGCCAAACATAAATCAAACCATCAGATAATGATGCAACAAAGAGAGGTCTCTTTGGAATGCAACCAGAAATTACATGAACAAATTGGAGAAGAAATGAAGAACAAGACTTACACTGTTCAAGGTCCTACTAAATAGCAAAGGACCAGAAGATCTTCGAGGACACGCACAATTGTTGATAAATTCACATTTACTCCTGCTAAATGGCCTCTGTTGAGTGAAAATAGGTGCTAGAATATGTGTTTTTTAAAGGAGAATCCTATTACTGTTGCCATCCACGGTATGCGTGACAAACGCATTGTGAAAAGCCATGCTTTTCCCATCACGTTTTCTGCTATTACTTAAGTTTGGGGCAGAATATACTAGTGAAAACATCTTCATGGATGTCTCCTCCCACTAAACATGGCCCTCCCATATCCACCTTTATGTCGGGGTCTTGTATTTTGGCCTCTGTCACATTTGCAAGTTCTAACTACATCCTAATGCACAGCTTTGTATGTCAAAAAGCACTATGTAAACGTGAAACAGTTAAGCCCCGCCAACACTTGTGACCTGTCAGATGTCCATCTATAAAATGAGGATAATGGTTAACCACAGGAGTCAGGGTTGGGGGGTGAGGAGATGTGGGTAGAGGACAGTGACCATGTGTATGTGTTTTGTCTGTGTGAAGGGCAGTGGGCGGGGACAACACACCCCTCTCTCCTAGATTCATACCAGGACTCTGCTCTTCCCTTTCCTGTCCGTAGCAGGGAGTGAGAGCAAAGGGCACAGTTCATCTGCCCCTGTACTCCCCAGTAAGAGCAAGGAAAGCAGCAAACTGCACTTTCTCCTAACTTCCTGAAGAAGGGAAACAGCCAGCAATGTCACTGTAATAAACTGGGTGGGGGATGTTTCAGTTCCTACTGCACTCCCTAAATGGTACCTGGGGGGTGGGAGGCTCGGGGTTGAGGCAGTCCTGGATGTGGGGGCCCATCCCCTTTCCCGGTGCTTCTGGTCTCTTCATTATGGTTTTATGAGAAGCAATCCCATTCCAGGCACATCCAATTTTCCTGGTACAATCAAGCCTTTATGTTGCTTTAAGTTAGGATAAGAAGAAACTGTATACAGAATTTGGTGGTCCTAGCTCTTATCATATAGCAGAAGTTCTTGAACAGAAACAGTCACTCTCAAACACTACAGTAGATTTTAGGGAAGCTGTGTGTCATACAAGGGTATGTGCACCTGTGTTAGTAACAGAGGTCAGATCAGATGACCACAATGATCCTTTCTGACCTTGGAATGCATTAATCTAAATCTAGATTCCACCCTCAGCTGTTCCACTGAAGTAGGACTTCTCCTTGTGGAATCTTGGGGCCTGTAGTCTGTCCTCATTATCCTTGACCTCTTCACTGTTGCTAAATACTTTTCACTATGACTTTCCGTCACACTGTTTTGTTCTTCTACTGATTTTGTGACTGTCCTTTCCTAGTTCTCCTATGTTTTTGGTTATTCCTTACATGTCTCTTTACAGATCTTTTCACTTCTCCCTCCCTTTTCTGTAGGCTGCTACAGAACTACAACCTTAGACACTTCTCCTGCTACACCTTTTACTTTGTGCAACCCCATCTGATCTGGGGATGTAAAAAATGTATACAAATAGTAACCGTGTAACCAATCTTTAATCTTGAAGTCAGGCACCCTGGATTCTAGTATCTTATGCTGCTACTGACTAGTTGAATGACTTCAGGTACGTCATATGGTTTAATATAGACATGTGCTTCACGTTCCGCACCTGTAAAAATAAATCAGGATTCAACTAGTCAGCTGTCCTGAGACCTGAGGGCAAAGGAAGCAATACATAACGGCTACATCTAGACTGCAGGACAATGTAGCACTTTAAAGACTAACAAGATGGTTTATTAGATGATGAGCTTTCGTGGGCCAGACCCACTTCCTCAGATCAAATAGTGGAAGAAAGTAGTCACAACCATATATACCAAAGGATACAATTTAAAAAAATGAACAAATATGAAAAGGACAAATCACATTGCAGAACAGAAGGAGGAGGGGGGGGGGTGGGAAGGGGGAGGAAGGAAGGTAAGTGTCTGTGAATTGATGATATTAGAGGTAGGGAGAGTGGGATGTTTGTGAGTTAATGGTATTACAGGTGATAATTGGGGAAACTGTCTTGATAATGGGTGAGAAAGTTCAAAGACTTGTTAAGTCCCTGGTGGTAAGTGTCGAATTTTAACATGAATGACAGTTCAGAGGATTCCCTTTCAAGTGCAGATGTAAAAGGTCTTTGTAGCAGAATGCAGGTGGCTAAGTCATTTAGAGAGTGTCCTTTCTGGTTAAAGTGGCAAGAAACTGTTTTCTCTTTGTGATCTTGTCTGATATCTGTTTTGTGGGCATTAATCCTTTGGCGAAGTGTCTGAGATGTTTGTCCAATGTACATAGCAGACGGACACTTTCGGCACATGATAGCATAGATTATATTTCTGGATGCGCAGGAATATGTGTTCTTGATCTTATAACTCACTTGGTTAGGTCCAATAATGGTATCAGCAGAATGAATATGTGGACAAAGCTGGCAACGGGGTTTGTTGCAAGGGAAGGTACCAAAAGGGACTTTTGCCCGAACGGGAGCAGCATCGTATTTCCGCAAGAAGCACTGATTCCAGACAGCGGGAAGTCAGCGTTCCTGCGGAGATTCAAGCGGCCAGTGGAGACAGCGGGCAAGTTTTTGCGCGAAAGCAGCTGCTTTTGGGCAAAAACTTGCCAGCTGTCTACACTGGCACCGCTCCCTCTTTTGCGCGGACAGACCGGGGCTCGGAGGG